AAAAAAAATTAGGCATAAATAAAACATGGCTCATTTTTAAACTAAGTTAAAGTTAATTCTACATTAAATTCCAAAAACTACTTTTTCTTGTTCCTGTCTCAAAACATTCTCAGCTTAACTATCAAAGTCTAGAGGTTACCTCATAATGGGGAAGTTTTTACAGTCTTTATCAGGCCTTGGACCCCAGGAATGTGAATGCTTAAAATATTCCTGGCTCTTTTAGAGCTTTTCCAAGGTCTCCCTTAATACTCATTTAAAGAGTTCCTTAGAGGTTTCCACACAGCACAAGGGCTACAGAGAAGTCAAATTAGCCAAAAAGTTTCCTATCATGAATGATGGGAAGTTGAAACAAAAAATCTAAATACCCTGCCTTAAAAGAGCTTACTATCTAACTGGGGAGATAAAAATACCATACATTAACTTTTTTAAAAACCCTGAGAATAAACAAGTGTTTGTACTAATTATCAAGAAAACACTTTTAATACTATGTCAGGCACTACCTAAATGTTTTAAATATATTAAATCTCTTTATCTCCACAATAACCCTATGGGGTAAATATGCTATAATCTCTATTTTACTGACGAGGAAACTGAGGCATAAAGGGGCTATTTAACTAACTAGCCCAAGGTCACACAGTAGTGTCAGAGCCAGCATCTCAAGTTTAGATTCTAAACCCATAGCTCTCAATGTCATGCTCTTAACCGCTATGCTGTATCATACCTCGCACTCACTATGCGGTGCAATAGTGAGTACAAGTAAGAGCTCAGAAAAACAGAACAATCTGAGTACGAACAGTAAAGAAAGACTTCTTCCCCACTCCACCTTTTTGAGGGCATGGGACTCATTTAGGCTTTAAAGGATAAACAGGAAGAGTGACAAGGAAGGTATGACAATATGTGAAGGGCTTTGTTGGGTCCAACCAAAGCATTTGTACTGAGGTGTGAAAACGTAAGTACTGTTGTAGAGATAAGACTGATCCAGTAAGAGAGGCTTAAAGTCAGAAAATAAAGGCTTGCAGTGACTGAGTTGGATAACAGAACCATTTTAGATTCCTCAGCATGGCTGTCAATACAGTTTTATTTTTCTGCTGGTGGTATTAAGGGTAGACTGGAAGAAGCAACAGCTAGAGGTTCAGAGATCATCTATGAAGCTGTTGTAAATTTCACCCAGTAGGATGAAGATTGGTAGGATGAGCAGACCCCCAACAAGGAAAAATCACATGAAAAGGAAATGACAGTAAAGAAGCTACTCTAAAAGGCCTTATATGAATTTACAAGAAACTAATGCCAATGACTACAGTTTTTAGCCCTAAATAACAATGAAAATAGTGGTCCTTTTGACCAAAAAAAAAAAAAGGAACAAGAAGAAGAAAATAGAGCTAAACAAAATGATAGAAACAGAGTGACAATTTAGATTTTAGGCATACGAGATAGTATAGATTTCCTATGGACAGCAGAAACTACTAGCACAAAACTTTGGTAACTGTTGATAACTGGAGAAACTTTGCACCTTGATATCTATGCTAGTTACTTTCTAAAGCCAAGATACTAATTTGCCAAGAATTCAAGGCCAGCCAGAAATCACCTATCCAATTCCTTAATTCTATGATTCTGTGACCTGTCAATTTCAAACAGTAAGAGAAAACCAAAATTTAAGTTAACTATTTAAGAAGAAACTTGGTGAGGATATCAATCTATTTAACTATATTGTTCTTGAAGTTTAGTGCTATTCATGTTATTTCAATAATACCTAACCATTTGTAAATGTATTTAATAGAAGAATACTTTTCCCTCCACCTTTGATAACATTATTTTCTCCTGGTAGAAATCCACTCTTGTGTTTGATTTTATTATCTAAACATATAAATGTATGTTTATTAGCAAAAACAAACAAAAATCACATTTCTAGCTTTCTCTTTGGATAATGTCTAACTGGTTAAAAGAATTGAGGACTAAGAAAAACAACTTTTTTCCCCCCACAAAAACACTAGATGAAGCTGCCAGATCCTTGGTTAAGTATGAAAGTCTAAGTTCTGTCCTCCTATGTTTCTCTTCTGTTAAACAAGCTCTATACCCTAACAACAACAACAAATACCTAGGTTTCAACTTACCTGATTATATCATCCTACAAAAATTTAACTTGAGAGCCAAGTTACTGGAATGTGGTGAGAAGCTGTCAGGTTTTCTGAAGTTAGTGAGACCTCTAGTGGTAAATATAAACGGGCTGAAGTCTTTTCTGTGTCTACAATTTTCTCAATTCTCCCCTCCATATTGAGTCATATAAAATAGATAAAGTTCAAGAACTTCCTCATTACACAAATGCACTTGTGATGCAAATAATAATAAAACAAAAATTTCAACAGAAAAGTGAGTTACTTACCAGAGAAAATAAAGCTTTATTTTTCACTAGGGTAAAACACATTGAACCAACCATCTTGGTCCTGAGTGGAATTATTTGGCCCCTCTACAACACCTTAACATAGTATCTTACAAATCTTGTAATTAGATGTTGCATAAAAAACTTTGATATGAAAAAAAACATTCTTTACAAAATACAGATAATGGATAAATGGATAGATAATGTGATAAAGTTAATGGTAGAATCTAAATGGTGGGTAGTATTTAGATTAGTACTATGTCAGGCACTTCTTCACATGTAATATTCTTCACATGTTCCCATGTCTGAAAATTTTCCTTTTAAATTTGGGGGAAAGGGAGAATAACTTATTTTTTAAGAGCCAATAAGCTTGAAAATAGTTAAAAAATATGAGTTATCAAAAACTCTCTCGGCAAGGGTAAATACCCTGGAATAAATAGTATTATCTCCAATTATACAAATTACTCTACAAAAGATAAACATGGCTTTTTCCTATAGTTAAGAAAATACATATATATATCATCAGCCAATAGTTATCCTTCATATTAAAATTTATTTTCCCATTCAACACATTTTAATAAAACTGAATTATAAGCAAAAACTTGACTGTATTTCAGTATCAATGATAACTGCATTCTGATCAATAAACAGTCTCACTCTAAAGCATTTAGGAACTATTATTTAATTCTTTCTCTGAAATTAACATGGTCAACCCTCAGCTTACAAACAGATCAAAAATAGATGTAAATCCGTCACAGAGGGAGGCTCTTTGCCAGTGTGAACCTGGGACATACTCCATCTCTGGCTGAGTCCCTTCTGAGAATCCCATTCTCAGGACTGGCTCTCCTGTTCCCTTTCTAGGGCCATCAAGTATTTCTTGCATTCTGGGTTTTAAAGATAATCACACAGATTGCCCTAATTTTATCCCTGAATCAAGCTCACATTTTTTATAAATTTTATCAGTTTTTACTGCTTATGCCAATGAAAAAGGGGAATATTTCCTTATTTCCTTCTCTTTCTTAACCTAAAACTTACAGACAGATAAAGGTCACAGATGATAATAACTGACTCTAAAGTAAGCTTCCTCTAGATTTCCTAGGAAAACTGAGACAATGATAACTGGACATTCTATTGGAGAAGCTGTGTCTTGGAACTCTGGAGGAAGGAGAATTTGGGAAGGAAGACTGGGGGACAAATTGAAGATTGTATCTTTAAACCAGAGCAGATTATCTTGGAGGGTATATAAGCAGCTTTGAGGGCATGCATTCTTCTCTTCCTTCCCTTTCTCCTTGTCACCTGCCCATCCAATCCTATTTGCCACTTTATAGTCCTACTACAAGGATGAATCCTGCCTCTGATCAACCGTAAGAAGGGTAAAAGGAGTACACATTGGTTTATTAGGTTATTAACGACCAGGAGGAGGTAGGTAGTTCAGCAGAAGCCTGTGAAGATAAACACTGGTGACAACATGGATAAACAATGATGACATGCAGTGGGATGGAGGGCACATGGTACATAAATTGGATGCTGCTTATAACTTTCTTCTTAACTATGTCCCAAATTATCCTGTTTACCTGCTTTTTCATATAAGCACAGAATTTATAAACTTGAATTCATGTTCTACTCTAGAAAGACTGCAAATAATAAAATTTCAAGTGGAATTAATTATAAGTATGATTTAAAAATAATCAAGAGCTTATTATTTATTTTAATCAAATCCTTGAAAACTATCTAATGTCACATTACACAGCACACATTGCCAGTTTCTGCTTACTGGTAGAACTTGAATTTTAAATTCTCATGACTCTTCCCTATTTCTAACTTCAAATATTTTACATATAAAGTTCTGCTGACATATATTTTTAGTAAAAATCATATCATTTTTACTCAATAATTTAAAGCTATTCTAAGTATGATACTATAGGGTAAAGATTTTAAACACAGATGAGGGGTACTTCCCAATCCTCCCTCACAAAACTTGATTCTAAATAAAGCCATAAAATATTTCACAACAGATTAGCAAAGAGACTGCAAATATGGGACCCAAATGTCTGCTTCAGGATCTGAGACATAAGAGCATCTATGACCAAATGTGACAGAGACTTCTCTCATAGACTCTAGAAATTTCAAGCAGGCTGAATGAGACTTCTCTAACCTCTCCAAGGAATCCTGAATGCATGGGCAAAATTTTCTATGAAATGTTAGAAAGGGAAAAAGTGTTTACAAAATAATCCCACACCTCTTTTAGAAATCTAGTAGTATGTACACTTTCAATATACATTACACATATCTGCAGATACACACCTGCACACATACACTTCATACAGATATGTGGGAGGGGTAAAGAAAGGGGCTAAAGCTTAAAAGAGCACAAATTCCTTTTTTTTTTAATAGTGCCAAAAGGCTCTGAACCAAAGCATTAATAAAACAACATAGAGTACATTTCTAAACAGAAAAATCCCTAAACCAGACAATTCTGAAAATGCTATCCAAAAAATTTACATACAATATACAACATTTAAAGTTAATTTACTTACGGAAAAAATCCTTTTTCACCAAGTTTTTTGCACAGAGTACTGTAAAGGAAACAGAAAATAAATGAGAAGAATTAAAATGGGAAGACTGCATTGTCAAAAGTTTCATTTTAAAACACTAAAAACACCAGTGAACAAGAAACACTAACTATAGCAAGGTATGAAATATGATCACAAACTTTCATTAGAGACTAGCAAAAGACAGCTGAACTGTGCTTGCAACTTTAGAAATGACCACCAGTAATAGCTGAGGACAAGAAAGTTTATAAATGTGGTATTCTAACAGGACCCACCCAATTCCTATCTTCCATTAAGATCTATTCTCAAAGTAGCTCAGCAGCAAAAGAAAAATAGTTCTGAGGAGGAAATATGTAAATTTGGGTTGATATATTTTTTTTATGATTTTTTTAGTTGAAGTATTGTTGATATACAATCTTACATTGGTTTAAAATGTACAACACAGTGGCTCAACAGTTACCCACATTATCAAGTCCTCATCCCTCTAGTGTGGCTACTATCTATCAAGACAGAAAGATGTTAAAGAATCACTGTGATTGCAAATTATTGTGCCCCTTTGTGCCCCCCCACCCTCCCTCCCACATGCCCCAGCCCCTCCTCCTTGGTAACCACAAGTCACTTTTCAGTGTCTATGAGTCTATTGCTGTTTTGTTCCTTCTGTTTTGCTGTTTGTATATTCCACAATTAAATGAAATCATATGTATTTGTCTTTCTCCACCTGGCTTATTTCACTGAGCATAATACCTTCTAGATCCATTAATGTTATTGCAAATAACAGGATTTCTTTTCTTTTTGTGGCTGAATAATATATACTTATTTTTTTAAGAATGAACTTTTATACCGAAGAGGATCATAAATAAGATAAAGCTTTCTTGATATTGATGAGATTTTTAAAAATACTGTTATTTACTCTCATTTTAAACTCCACAGAAACATTACAGGAGAGAGATATTATCTTCTCCTAAATCACCAGCTCAATCACAAAATAGATCTACTATATCTTCCAAAGATTAGGACTTAATATACTGAGCTAGATATCCCAAGTCCACATTCTCTGGGCTACCTTGCATTAAATTATTAGTTATATGGTAATGGATGCACAACCTTGTTGAAATATTAAAACTACTGAGCTACACACTGTAAATGGGCAAGTTTTATAGTATGTGAGTTATATGTAATTTAAAAATTACTGCTTACATGGAATATAGTCAATAATATAATATCTTTGTATGTCAACAGATGGGAACTACATTTATTGTGGTATTTGATAATGTATATAACTGTCAAATCACTATGTTGAACACCTAAAGCCTATATAATATTGTATATCAACTATATTTCAACTTTTAAAAAGGTAAAAACAGAGGTACATAATACAGTACTATTGGCTGTAATCACAATGCTGTGCATTATCTCCAGGTCTTTTCATCATCTAACTGCAGTTTGTACCCTTTGAGCAACATCTCTGGAACTGTCAGTTAATCTAGAACATTGGAACAAAGTTAACACACTTAGGTTACAATTAGACGTTTTAATATCTGTTATTTGGGGGAAGGGAACTATGAGCAACAGCCAAATGTCATTAATAAACAAACTTCTCTTAATGTTAAAATAAAATTACTGCTTAGAGTCATAAAATTAACTTTTTTAATTCAAACTTACAAGTAATACAAGTGAAGGGAAAACAATTTCCATATATTTATAGTTTAATTCATAAGATATCTATGAATGTAATGGTTAATTTCTACCCATTTTAACTCACAGTTTAAACTGACTCTTCAATTAGTTACAATTATTGGATGTTGAGTGTATAAAAACTTCATTTAATATAACAAACCTTGGAAATAGGTCTAAATATAACTAATCACTTTGAAAGTTGAAATAAAAATCATTTTGAAGACAAACACCATCAGTAGATGAATGAAATTACTAAATAAGCACAACATACTGACTTACTAGTCAGAGTCTCTTAGGCCCTGTCTCTTTAGAGACACTTTTGTTTTTAAAAAACATAAAAATTCAGTCATGAATGGCCAACAGGCACATGAAAAGATGCTCCACATCACTAATTATCAGGGAAATGCAATAAAAACCACAATGAGGTATCATCTCACACCAGTAAGGAGGGCCAGTATTGAAAAGACTAAGAACAACAAATGCTGGCAAGGATGCGGAGAAATCGGAACCTTCCTACACTGCTGGTGGGAATGTAGAAAGCAATTTCAACCACTGTGGAAAGCAATATGGAGGTTCCTCAAAAAACCATTTGACCCAGGAATTCCACTCTTAGAAATTTACCCAAAGAATATAATTTCTCAGATTCAAAAAGACATAAGCACCCCTATGTTTATTGCAGCACTATTTACAATAGCCAAGATATGGAAGCAACCTAAGTGTCCATCAGTAGATGAATGGATAAAGATGATGTGGCACATAGACACAATGGAATATAATTCAGCCATAAGAAAGAAACAAATCCTACCATTTGCAACAACATGGATGGAGCTGGAGGATATTATGCTCAGTGAAATAAGCCAGGCAGAGAAAGACAAGTGCCAAATGATTTCCCTCATGTGTGGGGTATAACAACGAAGCAAAACTGAAAGAACAAAACAGCAGCAGACTCACAGACTCCAAAAAGGGACTCATGGTTACCAAAGAGGAGGAGTGTGGGAGGGTGGGTGGGGAGAGAGGGAGAAGGGGATTGAGGGGTGTTATGATTGGCACACATGGTGTGGGGGGATCATGGGGAAGACAGTGTAGCACAGAGAAGGCATATACTGAATCTGTGGCATCTTGCTATACTGATGGGCAGTGACTGCAGTGGGGTATGGGGGGACACAATAATATGGGTGAATGTAGTAACCACATTGTTTTTTCAAGTGAAACCTTCATAAGAGTGTATATCAATAATACCTTAATAAAAAAACTCAATCATGAAAACTAAGGCAATAATTAAGAGTACCAAATCACAAACTTGATTTTAGAGTACTCCTCCCTAAACTTTATATAAACTGAATACTCAGGATCAACACATACGTAAATCTACATTATAATCTGCAGTATTGATGAGTTAACCATATGATTCAAGAAGTGAAATGATTTCATCTCCATTTCAGAAAAACAGAAAGAATATCTGAATTCCTCTAACTTGTTATTAAACCTACAAACTTTGTTTTGATACTCATTCTTACTTTCTTCTGTCTACTTATGAATGCCTACTTTCCTGTCTAAAACTATCCTTCTGCCTGTGCTCTTTAGCTCAAATCCAACACACCAGTTTCTCAAGGACCTTGTCTCTCACCTCCTCTACCTCAGTCAGCATCTAAACGTACTCCAGTCTCACCCATGCTTCTTTCCTCCATCCACCATCCTATCACTTCTCCTTCAGAAGGAAACTACTTTTAAAAACTCTACACTTTGTGACTCCACTTCTTTACCTCCCACTATGCCTCAGTCTACTGCAATCTGGCTTCCTCATTCATCACTGCCCCTGCACTGCTTCTCCAAAGCCTTCGGGACCTAATTACTAATCCACCCAATGCATATTTTTCCTTCTTTTGCACGTCTGATCCCAGAGAGGCATTTGCCACTACTAGCTACTTCCTCTTCTGGAACCCCTCTCTTCTTTTGGTTTCTGTTTAATATCATATTCACCTGGTTTTACATCAAGCATAAAACTCATTCTCAGACTTCCTTGCCAGTTCTTTTTCCTATGTTCTATCCATGAAAATTGAGATTCTTCAGGGTTTTGCCCTAGGTCCTCTTCTCTTACTCTATTACTTGAGGAGCACAGGAGCCCATCCTTGTAAACATCAGAATTATATATAAACTGTTGTATGTATGTGTATGTTTCCAGGAAGATAACACATATTTTTTCTGGGAGAGAGTTCATAGTTTAACAGATTGGCAAAGCTCTTCCTCTCTTTCAAAAAATAAATTTGAAGAGCTCATTTTCCATACATTCTCCCTAGTCTTTACCATTTATATGACACCTAAATCTATAAACCCAACCCTTAGCTCTCTCCTGAGCTCCAGGTCCACACAGGCAAACTAAACATGCTCCAAAAATGAAATCACCATCTCCCACCTCCTCCAAAACTGCTCCTCCAAATTACTTTCTTTCAATAAATAGCCCTGCTTTCTACTCCATTGCCCCAATCAGAAACCTCCACAGCAATCTTCCTACTCTTCCCTCCCCACCCGCCACCTCCTAGCAATTACCAATTTTAATCAGTTCTGCCTCTGAAATAACCCTTCATCCACTTCTCTCTATTACCATGCCAGCCCCAGAGTCCAGGTCCCCCATCAACTACTGTCTAGATCAACAGCCTCCCAATGAGTCCCCAGCATCAAGCCTCAACTCCCTCCAATCAGTTCTCCACACTGGGCCCAAAGTGATCTTTCTAAAAATATGGTTGAGTCCTTCCATCATTTCCCTTCATCCTAATGGCATTCCAAAACATATTTAAAACTTTCCTCAAAACTGTCCTTCCATCTGTGCCCTGGATTTCATACCCAACCTACCACTTTCTCCTAGTATCTCTTTTCTCCTCTACTGACCTCCATCTTTACAACATTCCCAAGGTCTTTGGGCACTAACTTTACATTGGTTTACAATGCCCTTCAGGCCCCTACCTCCTGACCCCATCTTTCATCATCACCCCTCCCCTCCAAGCCCCCAAGACCAAACTCCAGCCACACTAAACTTTCACTTTCTCAAAGGCACTCTTCTCTCTTACCCACAGAGATTCACCTACCATTCTCTTTGCCTGGAATGTTTTTCCCAGGCTCTTTCACTACTCATATTTTAGTCTTGGAAGGGAAGGAAGCCTTTTAGAAGATGTTTTTCTCAACCCTTTGGCCACTTGTATATTCATAGAAGCCCATACCTATCACAGACACTCATCACACTTTTATTATAATTGTTTCAGAACGTTGCTTGTAACTATGGAGGAGGTAAACTCCATACAGTATAAATCATTTCTGCCTCATTTCTTTGTATCTCCAACACCAATCACACA